AAAGGTGGTATATTTACATAGTGGAATACTACTCAGCCATAAAAAAGAACGAAATCTGCCATTCACAGCAACAGGAATGAGCTTGGAGAAAATTATGTTAAGTGAAATAAGCCAGACACAGAAAGAGAAATAACACATGTCCTCATTCATAAGTGAGAACTAAGAAAAAAGGAAAAAGAAATAAAGAAAGACCACAATAAAATGTCAAATGTTCAGAAGAAGAGAACAGACCTATAGTTACTAGGGGTCTAATCTGGAGAATGTTCCATGTGCTGATGAGCAGAATAAATATTCTGAGGTTGTTGGATGGAATGTTCTGTAGATATCTGCCAAGTGCAATTGGTCTAAAGTGTTTCTTTAGATCTTGTGTTTCTCTGTCGGTTTTTTGCGTAGATGATCTGTCCAGTGTTGAGAGTGCGGTGTTCAGACACTATTATGGAAAGTATCTATCTCATTCTTTAGTTCTAATAGAGTTTGCTTTATAAATCTGGCTGCTCTGATGTTGGGTGCATATATATTTATGATTGTTATGTCTTCTGGATGGATAGAACCTTTTATCAGTATATAGTGGCCTTCATTATATCTTTTTATGGTTTTTGGTTTAAAGTCTATTTTATCTGATATAAGAATAGCTACTCCAGCTTGTTTTTCATTTCTGTTTGCATGGTAAATCTTTTTCCATCCTTTTACTCTTAGTCTATGTGAGTCTTTATAGGTGAGGTGGGTTTCCTGAAGGCAGCATATTGCTGGGTCCATCTTTTTAATCCAGTCAGTCAGTCTGTGTCTTTTGAGTGGAGATTGTACTTTTAGAGTTATTATTGAAAGGTGTTGATTTACTCCTCACATTTTATTAATTTTTGTTTAGATTTCTTAAGTATCATTTGTTCATTTCTTTCTGATTTTCTGTTTGTATTCTGCATTTGTTGGCATATTGGGGTGGTAGATAAATTATTTTTTCTGTTTATTAGCATTTTTGTTTTATTGGTGGATTTTGTTCTTTCTTGGGTGTTCACGACATCGATGGCTGTTTTTCAAGTACCAAATCCAGTAATCCCTTTAAAATTTCTTGTAGGGGTGGTTGTGTGGTAGTGAACTCCTGCAGTTTTTGTTTGTCTGAGAAATATACTATTTGCCCTTCATTTCAGATGGATAGCCTTGCTGGGTAAATTATTCTTGGCTGGCAATTTTTGTCTTTTAGTATTTTGAATCTATCATCCCATTCTTTTCTGGTTTTTAGGGTTTCTGATGAAAAGTCTGATGTTAGTCTGATTGGGGCTCCGTTATAGGTGACTTGATGCTTCTCTCTTGCAGCTTTTAAGATTCTCTCTGTTTTTGAGTTTTGCCAGTTTGACTATAACACATCTTGGAGAGGACCTTTTTGGGTTGAATATGTTTGGGGATCTTTGGGTCCCCTGAATCTGAAAATCTGTGACTTTCCCTATACCTGGCAAGTTTTCTGCTATTATTTTGTTGAATATGTTTTCAATACCATTTCCTCCTCCCCCCTTCTGGAATACCCATGATTTGGATATTTGAGTGCTTAAGGTTGTCAGTTACCTCTCTTAGATTTTCTTCAATATTTTAAATTCTTTTTTCTTTTCTTTTTTCTTTTTTGGTCCACCTGTGTTAATTCAAACAACCTGTCTTCAAGGTCAGAAATTCTCTCTTTTGCATGTTCTAGCCTGCTGGTTAAACTCTCTGTTGTGTTTTTTATTTTGTTGAATGAATCCTTGAGCTCCACAAACTCTGCTACATTCTTCTTCAGGGCATTGATTTCTTTGTACATTTCTTCTTTCAGGTCCCGTATATTTTTTCTCATTT